TATAGCTGAGTGGTTTCGTGTTCAAGCTATACATTGCAATTTATTTTGGATTTGCTAATCTTACTTCAAGACAGGTTTGGTGGTGGTGAATGTTAATTGGCGTGATATGAACGATAGATCGACAGTCAAACATTTTGTACATGTGTGTGCCTTTAACTTTAAACATTATGTTGGCAAGGCTTATTTCAATAAACTTTGGGCTGTTTTACAAGTCATGTAATTTTTTGTTCAAAAATACGAAACAATAATCTCTGCTAAAAATTTTGTTTGAATATATACGAAATTCATCAGAGATTGTGTGTGGTAATCAGTTTCTCAGTAAATACTGAAAATAGACAAGTTTTTTCTTTCAATAACCACCCTTAAAAGCAAACCTTCCAAACGCTCTAATTAGGCACATCAGAAAGAATACTTCTTTTGATTAGAGCTATGTGACTATGTCGATAATACTATTTCAGGGCACGTGTGTCAAAATTTGACGACTGACTTTTAAGGTGGATGGTGGATTTGGCAGGTATACCATGTGGATCATCATGGTTATTTCCACGTTTGTAGAGGATATTTGCGGGTAATGTGATTATAGTTGTGATTGCGTGCATAACTGTGATTTTTTCATAAAGGACCATATGTTTTTTTAAATGTATGCCATTGTATTTAATAAACGCAGTGTTTTGGGAGATGTACCCAAAGGCCAAGAAATTAAAAAGGAAAAGTCAATATACCTGATAGCTGAAATAAATAAATGTTATTACCAAATGCTTCGCTTGACCCCGAATGTGGACACTGTTTTTTTCCAATACAAAACGAAATGAGAGGGAAAACCGGCGGATCCGGGAAAAAACCCTCCAATAATAGAAAAGATCAAAAATTTAGAAAAATTTCCTTAAATTTTTGTAGTTTTCAATGATCCCGATGATCTACTTTAACATGCTGCAGCGTAGTCAGATCGTACATCCTATATAGTCGTATAAAAAATTTAAATTTACAGAGCGACAAAAAAGCGTACCGACTACCCTATTGACACAGCAAATATTTTGTGTTCAACAAAAGAAACGCAAACTTTCGTAGAGAGCAAAACATGAAAGAGCGTAGAATGTTAACAAAGATTTTAATAAATAGACGAAAAATGAAAATTAAAAGCATCCCATAAAATTATATGAAAAAATTATTCAGTACGTACGACCTGACCATTCACCTGTCAATAACAATGAAAACATGAAATGACCACAGTGACGTCATGACTTGCATAAAAATCATTTTTGACGTCTCCTAGACTTCATTAAAAAATTCTATGTTGCTACATAAACACCTTCATTAACAGCTGGCTTTCACTCACGTGTTTTGTCAGAAAATTTAACAATTGTGAAAATTTAGTTTTAAACGGTTTTACTTGAAAATGAGTTATACTGATGAACATTTTGCATAAGAAAAGTGTGATTCTCTCTACAAGGACGCTTGTTTCTTGGTGCTTCTGTCCGACTTGGTCGTTCATTAATTGTCCAGTTAGTAGGCCTACAGAAAAAGCCACTCTACAAAAAACACGTTGTAAAATGTCAGCAAAATGGATGATCAAGAAGAGAAATTATATATATTGAAAAGAACAAAACTTTTATACCTGATTTCCAAGCGTTGTCCTGGTCCGTCTGATCCAGGCGACTTAGTTGGTCTCTTCCTATTTTTTTTACCGCGCAGTTTTTGCGTGTACGTCGTAGAAATATATGGTAGCATTTTTATCTTTGAAATTCAATGACCCCTAGCTACTTGCAGCATAGCAATTTTTATTAAATGTAATTATGAAAAAGTAGTGAATGAAAGCCAGCTATTTTCTCACAGCAAGTGACATCTTTCGTTGATAAACAAAAATTGACAAATTTTGTCATGAAAAACCGACTGTTTTTATTTAATTTGGGTGTTATTCATGATTAAGGCTCAAATTATAAAAATAGACCATCAGGATCCTTTTTAACTATCTCATGCAGATACTCATACAACACTATCTACTCAACTTACAAACCCCAAGACGTGAATCGTGTTTTTCCACTCGCTTGTTTTCCATCTTCGTAGAACATATTTCGTTTTTTTTAGTCCAATCATTTCAATATTATGTTCATACGTACATATGCCACAAATCGATGTCCATTCGATACCTTTATACCATTCCATAAACAAAGTACTCAACATCGTTAACCGACAAAGTGGCTAGTGAAATCATGAATCGCCATTTCGACAGATTACAATTTACAATGCACTCTTATGGTAACTTCAAGCGAAGGAAAAGGAATCACTTCAATACCCCAGTTATATCATCACTTAAAGAATGCTTAGCGCAGAGTTGATCTTCTATGAGTATCAGCTGACCACCTTTAGGTGGGCGCATATAACAATGGGGCCCATCATCATTATATGAACAAACAACTGACATCAACAGAGAATCCAAACTACAGATAAACATTCTTGGCCATGAATCACCATGACACATAAGCAACGAGAAACTAGTAAGAGTAATTGAAGTGAATGGCACAGGTGATAAAGGCACTTTCACAACTCCATCCATGTGGGATCTACATTATAAGAAAATATGAAACACATGTACAAGATTTTATGATGAATATGACGTTAGTTTGCGATTTTAATTCTTAATCAGATATATTGAGAATGAGAAAATTGCAATATGTTTTCTGTTTGACGATCCAAATGGTAGAACAGTGACCTAAATTGCACGAATAGCTACAGTCAGTTGAGTTTGAACGATGCAACAAGAACTTTCGAACGATCTCAGGCTTAACATCGTGGTCAACGAAAATTGCAGTGAAAGCTTTCATATTTCGAGGCCTGCACTAAGACTAGTTGATTATTCCACGCAACTCATACTTCTTTATATCGTTAGTAAAAAGACAGATTTACCTTCCTTTCTATAACGTTAAAAGTGACTAATTTTCCGTTGAAGTGAAAACACACGAATTTATATATGTTAGCTTACATTTCTTTAATTGACGTCATGACTATAATTTTTTATTGTGATTGGCTCCTTAGGAGCTTATCGCTATTCACAAAGACAAATTCAGTGTACTTATATTCATTGCATATATTCAGTAATGAATAATGTGAAATTGAAGAAAAGAGCTAAAAATCAGCATCATCAATAAAAACCATTGAGATTTTCACAAGAACAATAGAATCAAGAATCAAATATATATTTAACGTCATTGTAGTTACTTACATTTGTACTCACTTGACTTAGTTTCTCCTCTGTTTGTGGTATCTAACAACCGAATTTTCTCACAAATATCGGAAAAATCCTCTTGCTGTTGATCGGATGATGCCAAAATTATCGGCTATTACCACGTAGTGTTGAAAACGCTAACCAACCTTTTCCTTTCTTCTTTTGTAACGACTTCAGTCTTACGAACGTATTTTCAACTGGATTTTTCTATGTTCTCAAAACGTTTCTTCAAACTGAAAGATTCCAATTCTTGTTCAGTTGCATTCACAGATGTTGGCGGTCTTGATTTTCTCATCAACACGTTCAAATTCATTGACAATCAAATGAGACGTCTTTCGGTAACTTGTCGTCGATGACAGTTGAAGCCAACAACTTTATTTTGCTCTGCACAATCAGAAATCTTTATACTTGTCGCCTATGTGTATAGTCTTGTTCCATCTTATATGAACAACATCTGCTTTCCATGACGCCTCGTCACTTGTATGAGGCAAAACTTGAAGTGAATAGTACCTTTATACATAGTGTTAAGCATATCATTATATGTATTTGTTCCACATGAATTGTTCGTACTTCAACAAATTATCGGATATCTATTAAATCTAATTTTTAAAAACAAAACTTATTGTTGCCAAACAAAAGAACTATCCTCTCCCTTCATTAATAAACGTAAAATGCAAATAACAATTGACCATTTTTCTGTGATATTACGCAAATAATTAAACATTAAATAACGCAAATACGAGTTTCGGCATTAAGATGTTGGTGACGTCGTTTTGAAACTTCTCATAAAGGTCGAGACGTGTTGGAAACGATTGTTTATCACTATGAACTTGAAGATTGTTATTTAATTATAGAAATGGTGAAATAGTTCGAACTTTTGCGGCTCCGCAAACATAGACTTTATAGTTACAATTGGTTCCGCTCGTTCGGTGAGCGACGAGCTCACATAAATTCATCGATCATTTTTATATCATTTTTGTGGTGTTAGCAGGCGATCAGACACGATGGTCAATTCTGACATAGCTTAGCATGGATTTCCTAATGCAAATTATTTTTATTGAAATTCATGGTAAGACAACCTAAAATAAATGTAGATTAACGTAGAAGACAAGCATTTTTTGTATAGCATGAACTACTGAAGAAAATCGCATATAATAGACTAAATACATACAGGCGTTTCATATTCCTGACAAGAAATATCCGCAGCTTTTGTATAAAAATGAAGACAAAAAATATGTACAAAGTCCGAATTTTTTCAATGCCAACTCCACTCGATGTCCCAGTGCGAATCCTGCCTGTTTCCTCGAAACATTCAACGCCTGACCAAAAGTCCACTACTATCAACGTGAAAGACAGAAAACAAGTGACGCTGGTAAATAATAGAAACATGAAGAAAAGATGTGAATGAAAAAAACGTGAAAAAGAGATGTGAAGGAGAAACGTGAAGAAGAGAGGTGAAGGAGCGATGTGCAGCTTAGAAGATAACACGTTAGGTACTTTTTATATTTTCTTAATTTTGCGAAAAATTTTGGCAAATGCAATTTGAGCCCGCTGTCAATTGCACCGAAGCCGGGCGTACTTCGCTTGACGTAAATCATCACGACATTAAAATGCTTTGGAATTTCTATCTAATCTTTTTGTTTTAAACATTTTAATAAAGAGTGCTTCATCCAACGCAAAAATACAAGGGCGGATCTTGAACAAACAGAGAAGAACCTCGAAAATAACGCTGACAATGAGAGCGTGTTTCGCTCGACCTAAATCATCTCGATAGTAATTGGTTTTGGAACCTTTATTTAACATTTTTTATGCATATAAAAAAAAAGGTACAGTTGCTACGCTGCGCTAAGCCCAAAGATCATGCCATGGGCGTTAGTAAGGTTTGTATTCTAGAATTATAACACATTAAAACTATTTTCTTCCTGTCAAAATGACACATCTTGTTAAAATCATGCGCTACCACTTTGGGGAAATCTCTAACCATATTTAGGACAGTTTCCATAGTAGCATATTGTGGTTAACTCGGTGGAATGAGTTCCTAAGGATTTGCTGTTTCAGCATTTCAGACAACACTGGAATCAGTACGAAGAATCATTGACAGTTTATCATTATTATTAAATAGTCTACTGTCTTCAGCCTCATTTTCATTCACAGAAATTGTTACATCATCATGAACGAATACCCCATCTTTATCTTCGTATGTATCCATTTGACTATGCTGTCTCTTTAATTCATTTAATTCGGGATCGTTCTCCCTTGCTTTTCTCTCTTCGTCAAAATCTCCTTCAGAATACTTCAAATCATCACCGACGCCATAGTCACTTGCATTCGGTACACTGAATTTCTTATGATCGTTTTGTACTCTTTCCCAAGGCTTTCGCTTAGGCACAGTTCTTGTCTCCTCTGGATTGAAGGTTTCTATGCTCTCACTGTAACCTATTTAAGAAAATACAAAAGTACGTAAGGGCAACAGCTTCTCCACTACTTACAATGTATGTCAATGTAGGTAGTGATGTATAAACAACAAAGAACAAGAACAGTCTTTAAATTACCTAAAATATAAACTAACGAACGTAGGTCAAAGTAGGTAGTGATGTATGAACAAAAGAGAACGAGAACTGTCTTTATATTAACTAAAATAAAAACTAAGATAACGTGTGTCAATGTAGGTAGTGGTGAATGAATAACAGAGACAGAGATCAGTCTTTAGATGGCTTTGAAGTGTGTTTGTGGAAAATTCGGTACAATTTTTACAAATAAGAAATGTTACCTCGAAATTGAGTAGTAGCGTTTTGTTTATCTTGACTCATTCGGACATACTCGATTGATCTACGATTCCTTTCCATTGTAAACTCGTTTTGAATCTCTAACATTTTATTTTGCAAAACAGCATTCTGCCTTTGCAGTTCTTTAACCATTTGAATCAACGTTGACATGTCTTGTTTCTTTCCCATTTCTTCCCGGCTCTCATCGACTACATTGGTAGAAAAATCAGGACCGTAAAATACAAAATCCCAAACGGCGCGGGTAAAGTTGTATGTCTTGTTGGGTCTTTCCTGTAAACAAGGTATGAGTGTTTTTCTACTTCGCCATGGAAATGAAGACCTCTTCCGTTCTATGTCAATTATCATTTTCGCCTAAATCAATTAAAAGAAAAATGTTATAAATATCATAACGATTGCTTTTATTCACCTCATTCATTCATCACCACCTACACTTTATCTTAGTTTAAGTAGTGTAAAAATTGTCCCCGTTATCTAATATCATTCATCACTACCTACAATGACACACGTTATCATAGTTTATATTCTAGATAGTGTAAAGACTGTTCTCGTTCTCCATTGCTCATTCATCACTACCTACACCGACACACGTTATCTTAGTTTATATTTTAGATACTGTAAGACTGTTCTTGTTGTCTGACGTTCATTCATCACTAACTTCATTGACATACGTTATCTATAGGATCTAATTTGATAGTTTCATGAATGTCCTTACCGTTTGAATGTGTTTCTGCAGCTTAGCGTGTTGCATAATGCTACTGGTATCATCAATGGCAAGGGCAAGCAGAAGGTTCATAATAATGATAGGCATAACGACGAGAAAACCAGCAAGGAGGACCAGCTGTAGTGGATAAAATGTGTTGTAATCAGAGTGGTCACCGAGAAATGTCTGTTTAAAATCAAACTCTCCCATCGTCATCGTTGCTCCAGTTAAGATAGACACGCTAAACCTCTCAAATCCCTGTCTATCATTCATTATTACTGTAAAAGCGGCAGCAAAAGCGACCAAGAAAAATATTAAGAGACCCATGACCTAAATACGAATTGTTGATATCATTAAACATTAGGGTTGAGGGAGAAGTCATAACTTCAGCAGACGAACCTTGATTAGTGTGAAGGAAATTTTCTCATCATGAGAATAATTATACCGTAGGAGGCAAACCTTCTTAGATACATAATAAGATTTATCCAAGCACAGAATAACGCTACAGAACAGGCCATCCATTGAAAACTTGTCTTTACAGACATACTGTCGTTACTTGGTACAGCAAAGATGAATGTTGATACGTAGAGAACACATTCCAAATAGTTGACTTTGTCCATAAAATAATTGAATTTGTAAACGAATAACTACATAATTAAATAGAGTATGTCAATATCAAGAGATCAAATTAAGCGTAGACATATTTTGTAAATTCCTTTTTAACGATTTCGCCATTCTTATACAGGGAAAGGACAAAAAAATCAGCCCTATACACAAAAAATTATTGTTATAGGTTTGTAGCTTGTCATTTCTTACAGAAATGTTATAGAAATGAAGGATTGCTGTTGAAGATAAAATGAAGCAAAATAGTAATGTTGCCAATTAAAACTGTAACGTTCATCACTAAATTAAAATGAAACTAAAAAGATAAATAGGCTTTAACAAATAGCAGCCATATGGTTGACGTCATGCTATTGTTGTTCTGCAACTGCAAGGTTATCAATCACACCTTCACTGAGAAAGTCGATGTTCCAAGGCAAAATACATACGTTTTCATTCTACGTATCATTCTGCTGTCATGAATAAGTCTCATTTTTTGTTGGCAGTCCCTAATATTTTACAACAGCTTTGCAACGAGCACAAACATAAAGTGGCATTTTTAATATACATGGTTTATACGAGGGAGCTTTTACGACCATAAACTGAATGCTAACCTGACCGATTTCTTTCAATGTTTGAACGCCAGCAGATATGAGACAGATAAGCATCGCTACCTTAACATTTATCAACTTTGGTAATTCTAAACACAAATAGTTTCAATAACGAAAACATAAAACTAAACAAATTCAAGAAAATCGTGAAATAATTAATCTCCTCGAAAATGTTTCGGGAACCACTGAGTATTTTAATTAAAATAAATAACAACGGTAACACCAAATATCGTAAGCATTTTGATTCAACATTTCTACTCTATTTAGTCATCATCAAGAATGATTATATTACATGTGTGCGCAGTATATATAGACTTTATATAATTTGACCAAGTTAACAGAAACAGATAGTTCACCTGAAGCAGTGCCATGATTAAGTTCCGGTTTTTCTACGGATGGGGAGTGTTTCTTTGATAAAAGGTTTGACCAATCCTTGCCCTGTCTATGATGTGACAGTTGTTCAACAGGAAGAGAGTTGGGTCAAATGGTTCTGTATTGGGTTCGTCCATGTTAAGTTGTAAGAAATCAGTGAGATGAGTAAATTGTTCGCAGCTGTTGATGTGTTTATAGATTTTGATTTGTTGTCTGTAGTAGCATATCGTGTAGTCTTTGGTCGGGGCAAGAGAGAACTATCTGTCTTCTGTCAACTACATCAACACATACAGTCTATATATAATGCATACACATGTAACATAATCATTTCTGATGATGACTAAATAAAGTGGAAACATTGAATCAAAATGTTTACGTTACTTGAGTTACTGTTTATGTATTTTGATTAATCTTCACATTACCATCTTTGCCAACAGACGCCTTATATGAAGGAATTCCAAACGCGTAGACGTTAAGAGAAACCAAAACAAGAAATAAAACATAAAACTTGTTGTACACTTTCCATCCAAATTCCATCCATTTGCTTTAAGGTATTTACAGCAGACAGGACATACATAAACTATATTCCGCAACATCGCTTTGATATGGCGGAATGGTTTGAGTTTTTACCTCTTTGTTTGTAACTGCGAAAAAGGATAACTATAAGGAAAGCCTTGTAGAAAAGGAGACAGAGGATGTACACGATGAAAACAGTAAAATGAAAACACGGTTCTAAAAAGCGTAGTCAGTGGCTATGTCTATACAAAATGTCTTATCAGTCACGTGGTTGGGTTATTAATATCATATCATATATGATAAGATATTAATAACCCAACCACGTGACTGTTTCATTTATTCAATCTTGGCGACCTTTTGCAGACAATACAATACTTCATCAATACTGGGCAATGAT